ACATATATATGTGTATATAAAATTATAATGCATGGCAGCTGGCTGTTGTTTGGACACTAGTTCTTCACCAGGCTTCTCTGAAGGCAGCTAGTGCAAAAGGGTTAGACTTGAAACCACTACATACACTACATACAGGAAGCTTTGAGAACATCCAGATCCTCTGCACAGTATACATTTCAAAATAATTAAAAAAAAAAAACAAAAAACCACGCTTCCCCAAGCCTGGATCACCTTCAAGCTCAACAGAGCAATCCCACAGATTTCAGATCTCAGCCACCCAACACAATGAAGATCGGGGACAGTCACCAATTCAGTGACACTGGGACATCATCAAGGCCTGCAAATGCAAGGAAAGGGCAGGAAGGGATCAAGTCCCATGCCCGACTTTCCTAAGAGAGAGGGGAAGTTTAACAGAAATACCTCACACCAAAGGACTATCAATCAAAGCCATGGAAGATAGAAGGAAAGCCCATTCAATCTTCAGCCCTGCTTTCCAGGTGGATTATGGCATGAGGAAAAGGAGTTTTACACCAAGCCCACACAAAGCCTGGCAGATGGCATCTGCACGTCCATTTAAGCAGCGACAGATTTCGGAAAAGCAGTAACTAACTGCATGGCATCGCAGGATGTGTGCAAATGGGGAAATCCAGCAACAGAGAAGCCTGCCTCCAGCCCCCTCAAGAGACAGCACCATTGCTCGCACCTGCTTCACTGTCCCCCCAGACACACGAGTAGAGGAGGAGACACTGCCCTTAAGCCTTCCCTTATTTTATCCTCACAGCAGGGAGCAAACCTTTTCCCCCCGCTCCTGACCACACGCTTCTGGCAGGGGTGCTGAGGAAATGAGGTGCTGCTCTTCGCTCACAGTTGCTTCTGAGAAAGGGAACGAGCAAGCACATAGAGTAGGATACAAGAGGAAAGGTTAACTCCAGGCAGTAACCCAGATCCCAGCTCTCCTAGCAGAGCAACAAGGGGCAATCTGGAAACACAAAGGTCTGCTGATGGCAGGGTAGGCATGAAGCTGGAGAGTAACAGGGAAACTACAGCCAAGAACACGGCAGCTTGCTCCAACCTCTCCATTTCGCTTCCTGCTTGAGGGTAGGGGCATCTGATCTGTGGCACTTGAGTGTGCTCCCCTGTCCTCCTCTAAGCAGGCAAGAGGCAATTCCTGGTCCCTGGATAGATCTACAGAGGGATCATTTTTATTTTGGCTCCACAAAATACCTAGGGGCCAATCCCAAACCCACCAAAAGCAAGGGGAAGCTTCTTTTCCCACTCCCATGGAAGCCAGCTCCTCCCGTGATAGCACTGCAGTTGCTGCAGGGCCCGTGAAATGTGCGGCAGCAACTGCTGACTGGGAAACTAAAAAGGGACAATTTCAACCAGCCAGGTCACGTCAGGTTTCAAGTCTGCTCCAGTTTGGCCCAGAACAGGTATGGAGATAAAAAGCAAAGCAGCAGCGTGTAACGTCCCTTCCTGAATATTCCACCCTAAGGGCAAAACTTGTGCAGGTCGCAGGGGAAGTCAGTGATGACAAGCACGGGGAGAGCTACCTGCGAGAGACCGGGACCTGCTCTGGCAGCTACCTGGTGCAATCCACACCTTTAAGAGGGGCAGTTATAGCAGTAGGAGACAGGAAACAGGAAGAAAAGAAAAAAAATGTTTTACTGTTTACATATCTTCCTTTCCCAAAGAGGGATGAAAGGGCCAGAGCTCTACAGACTTCCACCACCTATCACGGCCAGTCCTCAGTCTTGTTAGCAGGAGTCCACCACTCTTAGTTGCAGAAAACACAAGAAGAATGGCTTCTTGCTGCAGGAATGTAAGGGAGTTGGGAAGCTTGGGCACCTGGTGATCAGAAAACCCTGCCCTTGTGAGACAGTAATTCCATCCCCACTGAGCTTCAACAAGCATCAGCTTTGATGGGGAGCAGGGGGGATGCAGGAAGCAGAGGAAGAGGAAGCAAGTCTTGGTCTTTTCTCCCTTGCTCACTCAAGTACAGGACTGCACAACCAACTGCTCAGGAGGGTGGGCGCAGATGTTCCTTACTACGCATTCAAGGCAATGGCTATAAAGAGACCAATCTCTGGTCTGGTCCTCAGGAATGCTTATCACTGCATCCCAATCCCATTTCCCAAGGATCACAGAGATGTTAGTACCAGGGAGCTGGGAAGAAAACTGTGCCTACATCAACCATTCAGGAAGAGGAATACAAAGCAGTCAGGTTGTCCAGCTGGAAAAAAAACAAAAACATTTTTGGCCACAACTCCAGGCTCTGGCTAGTCACGCTCCACACCAAGCTGGGCAGGTGTGGGAGGCAAGAGCCCCAAACCCTGGAGCTTTGCTTGGATTAATTCCAGTCGATTGCTGCTGAAAGGAATGGGCTCGAGAATGGAGTCCTGGCCATTCCCCCACCTCCGCACTGCTCATTGTGTCCGTACCCACAAAAGCTAATGGGAAGTGCCCACTTCTGCAACCTGCACTCTCTAGGAAGTGATATGACTTGCGTGTTTCTGCTTCAATAAATTAAAAAAAAAAAAAAGCCCAGAAAAAGGAAAATGACAGCCTGTGCTGGCAGTTTCCCATCCTAGAATTCATCATCGGAGCTCAGCAAGAGGGTCTTCTCATTGTCACGGGCACCCGAGCAGCTGTGGGAGCGTGAGATAACGTGACTGCCATTGCGCCAGGGTGGACCGTGCTCCAGCGTTGACTGCTGGGTGTACTGCTGGTAGGCTGGGGAGAAGTTGTGGATTGCATCTTGGACAATATCGTGGGGGTTCATGGTCTCCTTGAGGCTGCTGGAGATGCTCTTCATGGGAGCACAGCGACCTGTTGGGGTAAGACGGGGAGGGACAAGTGAAGAATACTGCTGCGTTCCCCTACAGCCCATGACATGAAGGTAAGGAGAAGAGGGAACATGCAATCCTAGATCCTGCAGAAGTTACTTTACAGACTTCCTTAAGCAGTCGCTGAGGAAATGCCACACAAATGGTGTCAAGTTTTACTAGCAGTGCTCCTAAATCCAGCCATTGCTAGCCAAGTGAAGCCACCTCAGCACCAAATGGCGGACATGCTATGAGAATGGGACATACCCACAGCAACAACCTCCACTACACAACCACCTCTGCTGGTTTGGGTGTGCAACGAAGACAGTCAGGTAGGGAGGTGGTCCTGTAAAGGGTTTCAGAAGACAAAAAACTTAAGGAAATTCCAAAAATATCAGAGAAGTGGCATTTGCTGTCCCCACTCACTGGAAATTAGACTGATAGGTGGTATCAAAGTGCTCACAGGAAAGAGATCATAAAAGTGGAAAGCAGCACAAAAGAGGGAAAGGAGGGGAACAGGCAGTACTAGAGGCAGAACCACCCCATGGGTGGAGGGTGTCACAGTGACACTGTGAAGGAAGCAACAGTGGAGATTGTCCCACTCAAGTGCTGAGCACAGAAGGCGGCTGTGTGTCCTCCTAGAAGTTGCCATTTCTCATGGTTTCTAGGTCCCGTTTCCAGAGTGGGCTTCTGGCTCTGCTCAGTCCTGGGGATGAGCTCCCCAAACGACCAAAGCACGCTGATCATCTGTGGCAGTTATGAAAATGAAGGGCGGCTGGGGTGAGACAGCAAACTGGGCAACTCTTTGGAGAGAAGTTCACACAGTCCTGACAGAAACGCCCTAAAGCTAGGTGTTATGCCACTGCCCATGGGGTGGTTTTACAACTTACAATCCAGACAACTCTAAAGCAGCTGTGTGAGGCAGTCAAGTTACAGACCTACAAGGAAAGGGGAACAGGGGACAGAGCAGGCAGTGGCAGGCTGGGAACCAGGACAGAACAGCATCCCAGTTAAAAACCAACAAACACACAGAGCATGCTGTACCTACCGTATGGCCCATATGATGGAACAGCTGCATCAGGGACCAGTGGTCAAAGCAAGGGAGAGATAAAAGGGAGAGGGAAGAGAGACAGAGAAAGAGAGACGGTGGGGGGAATAACAAGAACTGAGCAAGACCCACCACCAAAACATCCCCCACTGCACTGGCCAGCAGTTTAACTCTTTCATCAACCACAGATCTCATCCCCCCCACCTGCAGCCACTGCCCTTCCAAAACCTCTGTGGCTGGCTGGGACAGAGAGATCATCTACATGAACACTGCCCAAGGGCTGCTGTCTTCCCACACCTCAGCACAGACTCTCCCCAGGAGGAAGGAACCCATTTATCTGAGGAACACTGAATGTACTTGCACAGACTGGGCACAAGAACCCCCTTTTCCCAGAGGTAACATCCACCTCCCTCTTCCCTGGAATAAGACTTCCAGCAGCCCAGCCCTCACAAAGTAGTTGCAGGAAGATCCTCCTCCTCCAAGTCAAACATATTGCCAAAGCAAGCCTCATCTTCCTGAGCCAGATTCAAAACAGAGCCTGTTTCAGGCCCTGTCCCTCCTGCCTTCAGTCTGTTGCACAATCTGGAGCAATGGAGTTCCCCTTTGGGGAGACAGGAAGAAGGACAAACCCACCCTACCAAAAGGATGCAACTTCTTGCAGCCCTCAGGTCTGCAACAAGCTGTCGTGGGTGGCATACTGAGGAACTGAAAAGGGAACAATGCAATTCAGGCAAGGTTTCTGCCCTGCAGAGCCATTGCACAATGAATCTGTTCAGACACCACGGAGGAGGGGATGTGATGTTTTCCAAGTATTCAGGTTGGGACTCATATCAGTGTGTTGGCTGCCAGAGGAACCAGTCTCCACCCAGTCCCGCTACCAATTATACAGGCCATACGCGCTGGCACATTTCCTACCTTGGGCATCAAGTCTCTTGTCCATGTACACCTTGTATGTGAAGGCGTGGCGCAGGGCAATGGCTGCAAAGAACATCTCCACGCAAATGATGAAGTCCTGGTACCCAGCAGCTACTGTGCCTTCACCCACAGACACATTGGCAGAGTGGATTTTGGGGATGGCACCACACTTCTCCAAGATGGCCAAGAGCATCCCTAAACAAAGCAACAAGCTCATGTAAACGTCCACAAAACATGATTGCACACTAACTATAAAGAATGGAAATAGCTGTCCGTTCTGTATGTCCTAGACGCAAACCCATTTAACACAGGAGATACAAACAGAGTGGGCTAGATACTCCTATCTATGCTCACTTATGCAACAGAGAAAGGAGGAATAAATGAGACAAACGCATTTAAGCTAAGAATGTTCAAACACTGACCCTCTTCTATTCTCAACTGATGCATAATCTGTGGAACTAGCTGCTGCAGGACTTAAGTCCAAAAGGTTAAGAAGCAGTTAGATATTTCCGAGATCTGTGATCTCAGCACTTCCACTAGCTAGAGCAAAAATTGATGTAACAGACCTTTTCATTTAAGCATAAAGTGCTTTTGACACAGCACTGAAAGAAAGAGGTTTCTCCCCATCCACAGCCAGATGGCTGAAGAAGTCCGGAGAAGGCAGAAAGCGTGTGACCAAGTGGCTCAAGATGATAAACTGGACAGCTTATTAGTTTGTCTGCAGACAGGGAGGATGGGCCATACTCCAACAGCCTAAATTCCACCTAAGTTCCTACTCAACTAGTCTTTGAAGTGCTACTCAGTAAACCTAACTAGGGCATTGGACAGGGAAATACTTAGAGCCAATTAGTAAGAAGCACTAAGCTGAGGTGGAATTTCAGCTTTCTGAATGTGCCTCTGCATCATGTGTACGTATTTGGAATGTCCTTCCGATCGGTGGTGGCTCTGTGGCAGCACACACTGCATTCAGCCAGCTTCCTGCTTCACATGAATCACAGACATACCATTAAAATTTTATTTATAGGGCACTAAAAAAAAAGTACTAAAAATTTTCAGATGTCCCACTTTAATCAATAAAATGGAAGCATGTAGATAAAATGTTGGCAGCTTGTACTTTATGATTGTTCCAGGAACGCAAAGAACTCCTCATCCAAACAGCTGATTTTGCCAGGCAGATATGCACGTGCACATGCACATGCACAGGGAGACTGAGGATTCAGAAGCATAAAAACAAAGATGAAAATGAGCAAAACACGTTTCCCAGAGAAAAGCAATGAAAGGCTATAAAACAAATATAATAATAATAATACAGGAAGACATTCGGGCTATTAATCAGCATCTGCTCTACCAACTCTAGTGTCTGAGTCCCCACAGAGAGCAATTTGTGTCTACCAAGGGAAGGGAAAAGCAGCTCACCTTGCCAGAAGGACAGGAAGATGACAGACTTCACCATGAAGAACTTGAGAACTGGGCTATAGGGACTGAGCAGCTCACGTGTGGCAAAGTAGAAAAGGAAGAGGGCATACAGCGCCAGGCTGACAGAGATGTTGTAGATGATCGTCACATAGAGGTAGCCACTGGTTACACTGAAAAGAGAAGATACATGAATGCATGACATTTCAGCATGATCTTTTCCCCTTGCCGCTGTCGCTGGGGAGTTCTAAGACTCCGTTTCCTTCCTGCCTGCCTCCCTGTCCCATTCCCTCCCTTAAACCAAGGTAGGAAAAAATCCCCGAAACCAACAGGCTTACTCCTGCGCTCTTTTTCTCACACACATTTTCAGCCATTTCACATGCATTTCAGTGTTGTCCCCCTGTCTTTTCCCATGGCCCAGCGCACACACACAAGAACAATAAGCACAGCTGGGCAGAGAAGGGGCAGCCGAGGCTTGCACGCTAGACAAACAAACTTACTCAAAGTCACCATCCTGGTACTTGCCGAAGGCCTGAAGGATGACTGTGCTGATCGCCATCAGGGGCTTTACCACACAGAACTGCAGGGTAGCCTACAGGAATGAGAGCGGAGGAATGAGAAGGCAGGAGGTGCAAGAGAGCAAGTTCCCAAACCAGCACCATGACGGAGTGTCCGCTGGGACAACTCAGCAAGGCAACACAATCCAGCCCCAACAAGGAATCTGATCCCACCACCCACTCATCAATTGTGCTTGAAGGACTGCGGTACCCAGAAGGAGATAAAGCAGATTCAGAAGAAGTATGTGTGCTATCTGCTCATCCAGAATGAAAAGAATCACCTCTCAGTAGGTTGCTTCTAGGAGCTTCTCTTCCAGAGCTGTTTTTCATAGGCTGTCCTGCAGCACGTTTATGCATGGTAACAGCATGAAAAACAAACAAATCTGACATTGTGCTATGGTACGGACACAGTAAATTTAACAAAGGGATACTGGGGAAGGGAAGTAAACTCCAGTCCATAGTTGCCATAAAGCTAGGCAAGGTCTCCTGGATAGGAGGAGAAATCAGCTCTCTGAGGGAGAACTTTGACAACTGCCATCATATTAGGACATTCTGTATACACAGCGATGTGTGTTGCCAGACAGAAGTTAAGAGCTATTCTGTCATCACCCACACGACTTTTACCAAATCTCCCCAAAGACCCCACGGCACTTGGCATCAGCTCTATCCATTCTGCCAGTATAAATCACTACTCCTATTGGGAAGACTCCTCTCTCAAAGCTATCCCATTCTTCATCTTTCTGGAGACGCTGCACTTCAAGGTCCTAAAAGAGTGGAGGGTTGTGACCCTAAAAATGTCACCCGTGTCTCCCTGGAGGAGGCTGGAAGAGCCTGGGCAGGTGCTGACCTATGCGTATGTGGGGAGGGCTGTGTATGGAAAGAAGGCAAAACCAAACAGGAATAATTGCTTTGGATACGATGCAATTTGTTAGTGGTCATAAGACTTCAAGGAGATTAAAAACCCCAGCACATGCCAGTTAGTGAGTCACTGTAAATATGTGAACTGGAAAAGGTCAAGCTAATTGGTAAACAACTCCTTCCTCTGAGCTTCCCCTCCTTCCAATCTGGGGCTGTTTTAACCATTTCCCTGCAATCCAAACCACCACGTCTTATTTTTAGTTGCTTCCCTAGAAGATGCTACAGCATACGGGAAGCACATGGATGGTGCGTGACCCATCTGTGAGGGTCACTAGACACAGCAAAGAATCTTGATCAAAACATCTTTAAGGAAACAAGCCGTCCAGATTTTACACTGCAACTACCAGCGCACCACCCGACTGCCGGGGGGCTGCAGGCAATGCAGGCAGACTGAGTGACCCACAGCAGGCACCTGCATGAGAACAGCTTGGGGCAGGGGTGAAGATGGAAAGAAGGAATGGTGTTTAACACACAAATTCCTTCAGAATGAAAGGGTCCGGAAAGAGCAGAAAATGGGCAGGTGGTGGTGGGAGGCAATAGGAGTGATGGAGAGGCTGAGAACAGGAATAAAATGGGCAAGGTGCTGTTTCCAGCACATTTCTCTTCCTGATCATCACGATGGTGGATACCGCACAGATCAGCATTGAGATGTGCTCTGTTGCCCTTTCACATCAGCCTTCCTAGGAATTTGCCTTGAAAGGTCTTACTCAGCAATCCTGGAAGCCTAAAAGTACCAGAAAGTGAGTCTTGGTGTCAAAGATTTCTCACCAAGGTAACATTTAAGCTTGAGCCAAGAAGGACGGAAGTATTTAAACACCCCTTTGCAAGACAACTCCCTCACAGCCTCCACAGCAGACTTAGCAGTTTGTAAAGGGTAGGCCTGACTAAAAGAATTGCTGCCAGATAGCAGCAAAGGAAAAGTAAAATATCCACCTAAGCCAGAGTTACCAAGTGAGCTGCAGATTTGTGGAAGCCAGCAGAACACCTCCCGCGCCCCCCCCCCCCCCCAAAAAAACCCCCCCCCCCCCCCCCCTCAAAAAAAAAAAAGTGCTTCTGGTCTTCACTGTTGTGAAAAACTTTCCAAACACAGCCAGGTGCAACCCATGTGGAGATAACTGCCAGAGGCTGTGGGACACGACAAACAAGAGGTCTAAGGGAAATTATTTCTCCAGCACTCGTTCACCTTGATGGGTGTTACATCTGCTTACGACATATTTAAAAGGTAAAAGTTAACATGAGGAGCAAAAAGAATAGGAAATGCGTCGAGACAAACAAAGGGTGTACAAATGAAGCTCAAGAGAAACAGGCAAAGCAGCATACTGGGAGCAGATTAGAAAGTATCAGGGAAGAAAACCGGAAAGCCATGAGGACAGAATATGAGACAGAGAAAAGAAAGATGTGGTTCTCTGAAAAAGGTCAATTGTGCTGCAGAGATTAACACCGGATATAATTATGAGGCTGCATTGTACCTTTGGTGTTCCTGCATATTGCCAAAACACAGAAAATAGGCCATGATGTGGAAGGAGAAGCCAGGGCAGATATCTAGACCCAGTGACTGGAATCACAATGACCTGAACCCTTTCAAAGAACCAGATCTGCTTCACACTGTCTCCAGAGAAACCTCATGTGTTCATTTCAGCAAGTGAGCAAAGCCTTGAAACTCGCTTGCTGTTTCATGGCAGCCAGAGGTGACTGACCTGGGATGAGCAGACAAGGGCTGTATCGAGGTTTAGATCTCCCCCATTCCCTCCCCCTCGATATACTCAATTCAGCACAGACACACACACATGGTGAGCAATACTCGGTTCCTCCTACAAAACACTGTGTCACGCTTAACCTCCACCCCCTCCTCAACTCCAAACCACAATGGCAGCACTGGGAATTCAGGAGGCTGTTACTCAACTGTGGGGTGTCTGCAACACAACACAGCCATCAATTTCTTAAAGTCGGAACCTTTGCAATCCAGAAAGGGAAGAAGAAATCGGAATTTCTTCCCAGGGCTAACATCAGATCCAGGAGATAAACTGGGTCTTTTGCTAAAGTCTTCATGATGCGGGGTCGAGTAGAAAATGCTAAGATCATTCAAAACAAACAAATCCCCGAAACACCCGCTCTTCCCAGCAGTCTGCAGGTCTCTCAAAATGCTATTATAAACGCCCTCAAAGGAGCACTCATCTCAGAAGTTCAGCAGCAAAAGGCACCATCGCCACCCCGACACAATTCATTCACTTCTGGAGGATGGCACAGTTCCTCCAGCCCATACCTGTTTGCAGAACCTCAGGAATCCAATTGAATAGGTCTTTCCCCACAGGCAGCAAGTCCCATATACACAGCTGGACCTGAAAGAGGCAACGCAAGATGACAGAGTTCAGAAGCAAGATTTGGGCTAGAGTACCAAATTCCTACCCTCTTTGTCTACCTCTCTGTACCAAAGTTTCAGGACTGGTGCTTTCTCCAGTCATGAGTACAGGTACAACCATACCCTCTTTCAGAGACGTGTTTAAAACAACATCCTGACTCCACAGTCCAACCTTCCCCCCTCCCCCCTTTTTTTTTTAAAAATGAGTAGCATGGGGAGAAATACAGATCCTAGAGGAAGCACACACAACCAACTCAAAACAGAAAAGATTTAAAGGAGGAGAAGGAAATAAGAAAAGAAACAAAGGAGTAGGCAGGTGTCCAGAAAAGCGGTGAATCAGTCCAGCTTGCCTAAGAGGATGTGATCACCCTGATCTGCCTCAGAGCAGGGTACTGGTAAGATCATCACTATCCTTGCTGCCCAGTCCCAGCAGGCATTTGCCACCTGACACAGTTTTTCAGGGCAGGGACAGAGGCACGGTAGATGGGCACAGGAGAAGGAGAGCGTCATGCTGTAAGCACAATAAATACTCACTCAATTGGTTTCCCTCTGATCTCAGACATGATGGAGCTCTCCCCTCCCAAGTACTCATAGCAGAGGCTGAGAAAGTTGTATATTACAAAGGCTGCAAAGACATCAATCAGTGTAAAATGACAACCAACTTCAAAACAGGTGCAAGGACCAAGAGTACAGGCAACAGACCAAACATTAGCAGGGACTGCTTATGCAGCATCTTTCCCTTCAAAGCATTCCAGATTATTTTCACTGCTTTTATCGTCCTACCTCAGCACTCACAAGACTATCTGAACTGGAGTTTGGCCAAGGTCCCAGGTCAGTTCTATGACTCATCCCAAAAGGGTCACAGGACCATTTAAAACTGTGGTCAGTCTCTTATTTTACTTGGCATCTGTAAGACACCATCCTTTACAGGGTTCCTGTGCATTATTCCAGGACATTACACTGGTACTAAATAATTTGGAAAAGTTACCTCTGATCCATCAACCGTATCTTATCTCCTGTATTCAACCTTTCAGGTGAAGAACACAGTTTCTCTCTCTGAGGTAACATAACCATAGACATAAGAGTTGGAGAAACTGAGGATTTTTACCAATCAGTGAAACTCTGGTTTTGTGTTTGGTGGAGACTTGAAAAACAGGCTCTGTGCTTCATTTCCTCAAAAAGCTGAAATTTCTTGCGTACTGAACAGCCTTCTCCTTGGGCCACCTCTTTTCTGCCTTCCTCAGCAACCTGGTACAGATGAGGAAGAGCCTTCTCCGACTGACCGCTAATACTCTGCCCCATTTCAATTCTCTTCCAGGCTCAGTTTTGCTGATATATATAAACTGAGGTGAAGACACTGTGGGGAGGTCTCGCATTATAACTACAGCCGCGTTTCTTTTTCATGGGATCCAAACCCACTTAATTGTGCATGGAGTAAGCCTGTACATGCCCTGTCTGCCACCCTCTTGATTTGTATAATTGCTGTTGGATCCTCATATAGTTGTGAGTTTTTTAGGGCAAGGACTGTACTCCTAAGTTTGCCACATAGAGCCTTGGGGCAAAACAACAGACCAGATGACCCTTCTTTCAACATTATTTCCTACGATAGTCTGTAGCTGGACATTCCCTGGAATGCCAACACCCAAATCCTTGTTTTGGCCCCCAGCATTGACATAATACAAAGAGAAAATAACTTGGGACGGAAACAGAAGTCTCAAGGAAATTTGAAACAGGAACAAAAGCCTAATAATGTACAGTACTGAGAATTGGACCTCACCAAGCAGCCAGTTATTAGACCTGAGGTCAATTTTCCCACGTGGATGAACTTCTGAAGTCAGAGACAGACATCAACTCTAATTCTTCTACAAGCATCCAAACTATGCCCTGGAAAAGAGGTACTTAACGCTCCCCAAAATGCTCAGAGTCTCAATACACTATATTTATGGCTTGTAGATGCACCTAGCTGGCAAGAACGCTACAGCACATAAAAGTCAGTGGTATAGCTGTTTCTATGCATGTAATTGGGATATTGTTATTCCATCTGTAATCCCTGTTATTGAACAAAGTTAGGTAAGTTCACAAAGCAACGATTTTGTGAAAGCCTTAATTAGGAGGGAAAACACCAACCATAGAAAACTTATTTAAATAACTGTGGTAAACCCTTTTGCCTGCAATTTTCCTGCAACTTAGCTGACGGCTCCCAGCACCCAGAGGAAGAAAAGCTGAGATTTTCTTATTATCCTCCAGTGACCCCTGCCCTCTGATGTGGTCATTACAATACCAGCTGCCCATTCCACAAGCACTAGGGAAGAGATGACATCAGAGGAAGAAAACAAAAACCAATCAACCAAACACTCCCCCCCAAAAAAACCAAAAGGAAAAAAAGAGAGGTAAATATCTGCCCCTCCGTCCCCAAAAGAAAGGGGTGCTAACTATCAAGCTCACCACACCAGCAAAAGAACTCTTCTCTCATTCCTGATCCACATTCATCAGATGGTGCTCATGACGTCAACGTAACAAAAAAAAAAAAATAATCAACTTGTGTCAGTGTTACCAACACCCAGATTTGTACAGAAGCAGAGTCACATGAAAGAGCAACACCAAAATATGCTCCTCCTAATGCACACTATGAAATGCAGCTCATAAATGGCTCAGGACAGCTTTCAAAAATTTATTGGTAGGGTCTCCTCCCCCGATTCCTTAACAGAGCTCCTCCTTGACTTTTCAACCTAAAACCTTCCCGCAAAAGAAAGGATGAGGTGGATGGCAAAGGAGGGAAGAGAACAAAAAGGCTGTTTCAAAGCAAACTCCAGAAAAAATGAGGGAGAGAACTTGCTGACCAAAGGTGCTTTCACCTCCACCTTTAGTCTTCTCGCACAGACCAATGTGCCGAGGTGAACTTCAGAGCACGGGCTGCCCCCTGAGCAGACACTCAGATGTTTGCAAACTCCCCCAGCAAGCAAGGCAGAGCGATACTGGCTGTTGCTAGGAGAGGAGTTTCACAGAGCAGCAGCCTTCTTGCTAGACCTACACATGCACGCAGGGCAGGGAAGGATAAAAAAAAAAAACAAAAAAAACAGGCCCAAACAAAGCTGCCTTCTGAATCACGTGTGCACGTTTGCCATCTGCTGCTGCATCTCAGAGCATTGTCATGGATGTGAAGGAGGGCCCGCTGGTCCCTTCAGCTGATTAACTTGTTCACATGGCCAGGGGCACCTCTCTGCAATGCAGATCTCACCAAAACAACCGCACCAATGAGTTACAATTTAATGAGGGTATGGTGATAAACTGTTCTCAAAAATACACTGCTAGAGTGCAATTTCTCCTGCTGCGTGGGTAGAGGCTTCTTCCTGGATGAGATCAGGGGGGAAACAGATAGCATTTATTGGACAGTAACCGATTCCCTCGCTTACAACGCTAGTGGTATTATCTGCAGCAGATAACCAAAACCAAAGCAATCAGTAACTCATCCTGAACACGGCACCTTCTCTCCTCCCGAACTCCAAAGTGCTTTTTACACCTCGCCAACCCCGGCACGTTGTGGCTGTGCTACCCTGTGAGAACACACAAGTGGCCACAGGATGGGACCAAAAGAATACATTGCTAACAAACTGCACCAGGAAAACAAGACAAAGCAAGTGTCTGGCTGCTGAGTTAAGTGCTGGTAAAAGAAGAGCCAGGAGCTAACGGATACCTCGCTTTACAACACCCAGGTAGAATCAGATTTTTAGCTTTATACCTTCCTGAAGCAAAGGACCCAAGAAAATCATAAACTTTGTCTCTACAAAACTTTGGAGGGAAGGCTCAACACATCTTGTCACGTTCAGAGACCAGCGAGGGAGAAGGTCAGGTTGAACGCAGCTTTGAGCAACCTGATCTAGCCAAAGATGTCCCAGCATATGGCAGGGACGTTGCACTAGATGATCTTTAAAGGTCCTTCCCAATCCAAACCATCCTATGATTCTATGATTTTCAGTCACTGAGCAAGCTATGGTCATCCAGCAAGGCACACCGTAAAACTTTGTCTCAGCAGGTAACAGTGATGTTTTCTCCATGTTCCCAAGCAGAAGGAAAAGTCCTCTCAGGGCAGAGACTTCCCACCTCCCCCATTTTCCGTCTGATCCCTCCTTACCTTCATAGCAGTCCCGCACTGTGCCAAAGTAAACATAGTACTGGTCATTGGTGAAGAACAGGAGACTGAGCCATGAGTCAAAGGCGTAAATGGGCACAATGAAGAGGATCCGAACAATGTAGCGCTGTTCATTTGGGCAGCTATAGCAGCGAAGATGCATGTAGATCTGAGAGGACAGAGAGGGGAGACCAAGATCAGCGGTATATGGAGTAGAGAGGAGAAAGTAGAACTGGAGAGTCAACTGGGCCAGGAAAAACAAACTCAGTAAATCACCTCTTGATTGCCTCCAGCAGCCTCAAGGTGATGAACAGAAAAAATAAACAAAATCACTTATCATATGGCATTGATATAGCATGCCTTAGTTTGCAGGGTTTTGGAGGAAAAGGAAGTGGAGGCATTTCTAATCTAGTTTCTTACAGGGAATTAATTTACTGTTATTATCATCACCTTGCCTATATCCTTTTGTTCATACCTTTTTTTTCCCCAATTATCAGTCCTATATCCCTGCTATACTGTTTGAAGTACCTACGATTCACAACACTGCAGGCTACTTTTCTCTGAAGAAGGAAGGTGCATGCACTTAAGCGCACGGTCATTGTAAACACTCTCACTCTTGGCAGTTTTGGACGCTTTCGAGACTTTCACCCGAAACAACCTGAGAGCCTTTCACAGCACTGTCAAGAGCTGATAAGCCGCAGCCCATCTGCTCAAAAAGTCCCATTCTGCACATCGGTGACAGCACAGCCATGAAGTGTCAGCCATCAAGGGAGCACTGAGCTATGCAGCAGCATGCTCAAAGGAACCACGCAGCCACATCGCTTGTTTTGTCTGATTGTTTGCACACATGCCAATCCTTCTAAGTCACCGGCTGAGGGGAGCACAATGTCCCCAACCCTACCTGCTCCCACCGCTCACACTTTGCTAGCCATCATTAAATCCCACACCTAAGATGCTTTTTCATAGACTACCCACCTCCTGGAAAAGGTATTGACCACAAGCATACCCTGAAGATGAGCATCACTCCTGTAATGGCCTAATAACACGGCCAGAGTTGTGGGCACGCTCTGTCGACCACGGAGTCAGCAGAGGGCACATTCTCCAGAGGCAAGGCCTCCATACAGCAACCCTCATAAAGCTGCTGCCCCAAATGCTGGAATTAATAACAGCTAGTTTATTATATACGCGCCTCATGACTGACTGATTTTGCCGCCTGAAGAGGCACAAGCATTGGTCTGAAGTTTCACCCTGCATTTGGGGGTGCTCTGAGGATTCTCCAGGGTCTAACGAAGCACACATTGATGATCTCGCCTTTCCCTCGTAAGGGAGAAGGGCTTGTGTCTCCCTACCTGTCTGTTGCTCGTCTCTCCCTGCCTCTTGGCCAGATCTGGTCAAAATCGACTGAAGGGCTCAAAATACTTCTGTTTCTTCTCCCTAACCCATGAGGAGCTCACAAAAGCCTCATTTCCTGAGGAGAACAGGTTGAAAATAAACTAACAACTCTTAGGGACATTTTTATCTTGTGACAATCCCAGTGACACACCTCACCCAGCACAGGGACAGCTGACACCGGAGTTCAGATGACTCCAAGCTTTGCCCTTGGGATGTCACAAGAGCCCTGCGATCCATGCGCTGACGAGAGCGCAGGAACTGCTGCCTTGTAAGAGGACAACGGCATGTTTCAGTCAACACCGTCTCTCTGGCACTGACCTCCACTGGTTTCTTCGGAGAAGGGGATTAATGCCTAACTGCGCAATTCTATACTGCAGAGGAAAGATTTCTTCCTACCCTCAGTAGGCAAGCAATTTGACAGGAGGATCCATGGCACCTGTAATTGTTACCCAAGCCGGTGAAACTGCAGGTGTTAGCCTTATTCATCAGTGACTAATTCATTTTTTGAACTTCACTAGCCCCTGTACTCCATCAATAGGCTGTCGTTTTCTAGATCCTAGTCATCACTCTGGAAGCTATGGACCAACAGGTACAAAATACAGGTTGATAAATAACAGGGCTTGCGTTTCCCCACTGTGTTTTTCAGTTCACATGACAACTGCATGAAAGAGAGGTACGGAACAGGATGCAGGGTTTGACTTGTTCTGGCTCCCAGGACACCTGCCCCAGAAAGAAGGAAGGGGAGAAAAATTAAAATAAAACATTTCCTGCTACTCCTTTCCGCAGTAGAGTTCAGCCTATGGAATCCACTGGCACAGGAGATCAAAGGAGGTATGTCAAACAACAGATGACCATGATCATTTAGCTAACAGCTGACACAATAACAAAATGGCTAGGTTCAGCTACAAGACCTGGGAAAGGATGGCTTGAGATAACACATCTTTCTGCAAACCCTCAAGAGATGGCCAAATGTTTTACACCTGCTAGTTGTAAAGAGTTTGCTTCCTCTCCATTCACACTACAGAAACAGTCTGAACCTGGGCAGAAAAAGGCCTTCATATAAAAGTTATCACCTTGATCAGCACAGATAATATATTAGACCTCAAAGAAGAGGTCCTAGTACCACTCCAGAGTCCGCAAACACCCATCACACAGCTGTATCTGGCCGAGATATGCCAGGGGATCATGCCTGTTCCTCCACGTCGGGAAAATAAAAGGATAAGAAGTACGAGTGACAGGGTTTTACCTGATGGCAGGTGATGAGCAAAGCTGTCCATACAAAGAAACCTGAGATAGCCTGAGCAGCAGTGGTCATGAGGAATATTGGCTGCTCCACAGCTGTGGGGCTGCCATCCTCCGGCATCCAGGAGAAGTTGGGAGCCACAGCTGGAGTGGTGGCAGCTGACCCCAATTTGGGGGCTGCAGTGACGTCAGTCATCCCTATCATGGTGCCTTTTGGTGTGAGATTCCAGTTGGGATTGCTAAAGAGCCGCCCACGAGACAAGACCTGTCAAGGAAGAGAACCAAAAAGCAACTGAACCCAGCTGAAAGGACTCAAGAGCATAACATTAACAGTACTTTGCATCTCTCACATGCTTTTCACCAGGCTGCTCACATGCTTTATGAACAGAACCTGGATAAGTCTGCCACTGCCACCCCTCGTGATACAACAAATCATGCGGTACTCAGGAACCTCTCTACCATTCACAACACAGCCTCCCCAAGATCATGAAACGCTGCCACCACCATTGTCACCACCCTTCTGCAATAAAAATATTTAAGAACAAGATGAATACAGCATTCACCTGAGATCAGAAGGAAGTATCTAAATCATCCATACTGGATGATAACGGGCACACCTAAGTTAACAGCTCTACTTTCCACAAAAGCACTGGCTGTTCTGCCATGTCCTAGTTTTATGGTTAGTCTGCCAGAGTCTTAGCCTTATAGTTTCATCTGGAAGGCAGCAGAATAAGTAGCAGCAGGTAACAAGAACATGCACCACAAAGAGTCACTGCGCAGCAAGAGGGAAAGAAGAGCATCCTTATTCCTCCAGCAAACAATTCCCACCTCTCCTGCTGCCATTTTGAAAACCATACTCAGCCCGAAGCACTTCATTGGAAGGATATGTGCTGAAAGCTCTCCCCACTAGAAAGAAAAGCATGAAAGTGATGTTTTTACCAAATACTGTACGGCACGGTACACTTAACCAGCCCATCACTAATGAGACTAACTTAGCATTGTCTTCTACATGATGTGAATTTAACCTGATTGGCTTTTAAAAGCCAGCTGACCCATGAAAACCCACCCAGAACACAAGGCTATGCAAGATTTCAAAGCAGTATGACCCTTGGTCATTTCCTGGATGAGAAGCTTTTTTTTTTCCACGCCCCTCAACAGACCAAATTCTTGAAGGTCTAAGATCTAAAGCAGCTCTTATTTTCAGTTTGGCAGTCTCTATGTGACCTGGGAATTGGAAGAAGATACTTCACTTAAACCAAGATCACAAGCAGGCAGCCTTTGGTTCTATTCGCTAGAAGAGCTGCTTCTGATGTGGTTGTAGTAAAGACATGGTTATCAAAGGGAATGGCATAATATTGCCTCCTTCTAATAACCTCCTAATAGTTTTGGGGATACCCTTTCTGTAAAAGGACAAGACATAGCTCTTAGGCAGGTCTTTAAGATCAGCAGATGGAAAGGGCTTTAGAAAGGCCAGTGATCCATCACCACAGTTAACAGCTGCAGCAGGGAAGGACACATCTGTCATGTACTGACAGGTCACAGCAGAACACAAAAGAGGACATACATCCGCAGACGAACTGCCCCAGCCTCGCTTCACCTGAAGCCACAGCACAAACTGGGGAACAGGCAGCCAGTAAAAGCAGAGGGCCAGGAGCAAATCATTTCCACCTGCACAGCAAGGTGTGCAAATGGCCCCTCCACCACACGCTTTTCCAAACCACACACTTACACCAGCAGTGCGTGGCACTCTGATGTTACTTACGCCACGTTCCACCTTATTTCTGCTTTCTTCCACAGATGGAAGAGAACAAATACAAATCCTGGGAAATATCCAGATTTGTTTAAGCAGATATTATCTTACTATGGAGGGAGCTGCACAACTGTTACGGTTTAATTTACAAAGTTATTTCAAACCTGGCTTTTCTTCATTCTTTCCAGTCGTTCTTTTTCCAAAATATCCCTGCTCTGAGTTACAGTTTTCCATAATTGCGTGTACTGAAGGGCAATTCCTTTCCAGTCCTGATCAGTTCAGGAAATATAACTGTTAGGTTTTGAGTTTCAAAGAATACACACACATTACATTATCTATATCACATCTAAAAATCTGGAGAGATGAAGGCTAGATGGAGATGTCACAAAGTAGCAAGGTTTTTCATTGCTTTGAGAAGAAAGGGATTTCTACCCAAGTGACTTCTGAAGAGACTGAACACTCACAGTGCTGAGAGTGCTTTCACTAAGCTCACAAAGGGCACATCTAAAATGAAATCAGAGCAGATGCACCTGTGGTTAACCTAGCTCTAAATAAAGTCCAGCCAGCTGCAATCCTGCACTTCCCAGTGCACTTTGGGAGCTATGCAAGAGAGGAAGCTGCTAAGCCCTTCATAAAGTTCACGGGGGAGAGGATCTCTACTGCAGATCACCAGCAGCAGGAGGGACAGGACCTGGAGCTCCACGGTCCAGCTAATCAAACCACATCGACAGCACAGACCCAAACGCAGGGCCGATAACGTCAGCAGAACTGAAGATCTGAAAGGGAATTCCTCTGCTTCTCTGCACTCATTTTAAAAGAAGCTGAAACAGCAAAAAGTTATCAAGGAGTATTTCGATGTGCCAAGGGTTACGTATTCAGAAGCAAGGACACTTACAAGTTCAAGTTGTGTATGTAACCTTAACACTGCCCCCTTGTGATTACACATCAACTGTCATTAATTACACGATTATGCATCGTTCTCTGCCTAATCCCCTTTAATTCACACAGCCATTGAAACTCATAACTCGTTCCAGCACTGTGTTCTGAAAGAAAATATATAAACTTTCTTAACCAGGGCTCCACTTCTCCTACCCCAAACCCCAATCCACCTCACCCATCAGCACCCCTCGGCTCCTCCGGGTTGTTCCCAAGGACAATTTTTGAATCGCTTGATACTTTTTACTGGTTGTAAGCATCAGCTTGCAGCTCATTCTCCTTGCTAGCGAAACATGAAGGAACACTGTACTCCCAAATCTGCAAAATTAATACATACCTTCGAAATTATCCCTTCTAATCTCTTAAAATCCCATACCCCATCGCTACAGTGACAGGTATAAGCAGTGCACAAAGCTATTATGAAAGGCTACCGTATGCAAGAAGCTGAAGCTGTAAGAGCAAATCTGTACTATATTTAAGAAACAGATAATAGCACAGATGATTGGAGCCTTAACCAGGTGAGTAGATTTCGGCTCATTCACTAGCACCAGCTCAGAGCCCACTAGCTCCTCTTTTGCCTTGTTAAAAAGAGCATCATAAGGGTGGGCTGTGGCAACTCTTTTAATAGGCCTTGTTTCTGAGATGCCTCTTCCCCACCGTGCAATGGGACACAAGCCCAGCACGTCGTTAGGACTCCAGCAAAGGTGGTGCCTGGGAGCACAACACAGCAAACACGCTGCCTTGACAAGCTCCAGATCGAGCACTCTGATGTAGGCAGTTTCCCCTCTTACTTAACACAGTGAATGTGTTTTGATACTTGTTTCTTGGACACCTACCTCCATCACAGCCCATGTCAGTGCCACAACACATACCTTCCTGCTTCCTCTCACAGCCGGGGAAAAAGGTCCTTTCCACCAAGTTATTTCATATTCACCTCAATTTTCTCCATTCTCCCACTTTGCTATTCCAGCTGTGCAACAACTTGACAAGGTTAGGCTACTGGCTGTGATCTCCGTGTACTCCTCCCAGCTGGCTGTATTTCTCTGTTGTTTCTTGCGCATTTTAAGCTCCTTGGGACAACCATCTTTTTGTTCTCTGCCCATAGAGTTCCCAGTACTGCAAGGTACCAAACCACGAGGAAGGCGCTTCATATTACCATATGGCAAACTAGGGGCATTTACAAACCTGAATTACCAACGCAATACAAACCAAACTAATCTAATGCATAATAAATTTTGAAGACTTCTTTACTCTTCTGCCATACCCTGTTTTCTCTGCCCATCTTTCACCCCCGTCTCATTGCTTCCGTTTCAAGGGAGAGTAAAGTTACTGGCACACTTACTCTCCCTCTCTGAAGGGCTCTCCTAAATATATCAAAGGAAAACATTTCAACACTTCTCAATCTCACTCTTGAAGCTTTCCCCACCTCCAAATGACTACCTTGCTCCCTCCGGAGGTAACCTGCAATACAGCACATCCCAAACAGGACCAGGAGAAGGGATAGCCAGGAAAAGCACCAAACTTTGGAAACTGGAAACACACACACAGAAAAGTACATCTGGGTAAACCCACAGGGCTTTCACGTGTGGGCTTAGGCGTATTTCAGGAAGGCCACAGGAAACTTGGAGTGGCTGCTACGCTTCCTCTATGTAGGCTACGTGAGTTTCAGGCAGTACTTAGGTTTGCGTGAGGTCTATACCCAACACCCCAAATGTGGAAGGCAGAGATGACACCTCCATCCCCAACAAGCTGTTAAGTGTTCCTGCCCAGATGTCATTACATGTTACGCACGTTAGAGCAAGGCAGGACCATGTATGCTAGGGCATTAGCTTAAACACCAACCTAGTACCAGCTTAAACTTACCTAACAGATCTTCTGAAAGCACTTCAGGAGTATTAGGGTCTGCTCTCAATGCAAGGAGGAGAAAAGAAAATAAAGCAAAGCGTGTGCTATTTATATCAAGATAATTATCCTGATAAAAACCTAGAGACACAAAAGACTGGGATGGAGCTCCAACCTGCATGGGGAGCAGTTCTGTTAGAGACATGACCCCGATGTAAAGCTAGCGGGGATGTGTCCGCAGGGCCTGCAGCCACAGAAAAATGGCAGCGCAGTAAATCTTGATCAGGAGCAGGTTGTCATTCCTGTATCTTTTGGAAACATAGGCCTTCTGTCTCTAACATTAACATGGCAGCTTCTTCCACCGAAAATAAACTCAGAACAGCAAACAGAATGGATGTAGCACAAGTAAAAACACAAAACTTCTTTTTTGGCTTGTGTAAAGGCATGGAAAATGTTACCACTGAAGAGGAGCTATTTCTACATAAACAAACATAAATACATAAACCCCATTTTTGACACAACAAATGCAGTCTAAGAGGAGGGCAGAAACGTCCAAGCTTGGTCCTTCAGTTCCTAGGGGTACTTCTGAACACATACTCACTCAACAGAGGCAGGTAAAGGAGGAGCGGGCTGCCTGCTCGGAGCAAGATCTGCTCCGTTGTGCTGCTGGGGACAGGGCAATGGCTTCGCCCTGGTGTCTGTAGGAAAAGAACTCCAAACGACACAACTCTGA